AGAAGAAAAACTAAAAGTATTACTTCTAACTACTTTATAATTGATTGCTCAAATGTTGTAGTAAAGTAGAGGTTTACCACCTGGTGCCTATGGATATCAGACACTTATTAGAACAGTGCCTCTAGTCCTCATCAAAAAATATTTTTTACAAAAATGGCTGAAATCTGTTTGGGATAATATACTGTATCTAAATTATCATGAAAATGTTCTTGATTTAGGACTGATTAATGATCTTGGAAGCTGAGAATACTACCACTTCCATATTAAAAGCAAGTGAGCAGAATAATAATCAAAAGTTAAACTGTCTTAAATTCAACTATTCTGCTAGGTTTTGGGCTAACCCCTGAATTTGTTCAGAAATAATATATTTAAGCCGTCACTGACATAAGTAAACATTAGGCATAGAAGAAATTATATCTGCTTTGACAGAGGACCACTTATTTTGAAATTAGAAAAGGAAACTTTATTGCCATTTCTCATATTCTGCTTGAATAGAACCCAGTGAAGTGGCGCACTCAGCTGTTTATGGTTGACCTCAAAAAGCTAAGCATGGCTGGATCTAGTTAGCGATTTCCTTGTAGTTTCCCGTTCTAGGAAATCCCAAAATTATATTGAAAAGATGAAAAACCATTCTGGAAGAAGACAGGCGATAAATCATTTGTTGGCAAGAAATTTACATTGAAATATGCCTATGAAGTAACTCAACTTGAAGTGAATTTGAGCCTTCCTACTTAAATAAAAAGACACAATTCTCTTTCCCAGAGACAACTGAGTTTTCAGCTTATGCTGAATCCTGATATATAGCCAATTTAGAAAAAAATAGAGTTCATTACAGCAGAGAACTTAGAATATAAAACAGAGTGTTTAACTCAGATACTTAAATATCTGAGGCATTGTGACATGTGAAATGTTATATGTGGATTGTTTCTGAATACAGATAATTCTCGATGTGCAACAGGCACAGCACTGGTTGGGAAAGATGTGCAAAGATCAGAGAGGGTGTGGAAGAGGCACCGGGTGGGTGAGGGAGAGTGGGGGGGGGGGGTGCACAAGAGGCACTGGATGAGTCAGGAGGATGTGCAATAGGCACCACCTGGGTCAGGGAGGGCACACAAAAGGCAGAGGAGGCAAAGTGAGGGTTGGGGAGGGCACAGAGGAATGTGCAAGTGCCAATTTAGCACCAACACAGAGTATCTGCGGGGTTTGCAGGTGGGAGAGACTTACATTAGCAATTTGCAAGCTTCCCTGCCAACTTCCCCACTGACGTTCTGGGGAGGCAGGCAGAGATAGTTGTAAATGGCGATCCCACAATTGGGAGATGCTTTGCAACCGGTCGTAAGTGCGAACAGATTGCAAACACCCAGATCATGATCATGTATTATGAGGCTGCTGGGATGGCCAGAACTATAAGAACTATATATAACCACCATTCATTCAGCACCACCGTAACTCTGAATAGTCGACGGCTACTTGTAGTGTTCAAAACTTTTAATTGATACAGAATGTGACAATTCAGATACTAATGTAATCCTGCTGCACCAATGTTGTGTCATAGACTATTTCTAAACTCAGTTTAAACTGTTGTTTTTAACTTTTGAATCTGATACACTTTTAATGGATTACTTTGTTGATCACAATGGACTAACCAAGTGGGTTTGCAACTGAGGTCAGTGACTATAGAGGAGTATGAAGATAGCCTTGAAGAAGGTGAATAGCAGGCATTAGAAAATCCTCAGCTTAGTTGGTAAATACAAGAGATTGAGACTGCCCCACTTTAATTTTCCTTGGCATAAATAGGAGGGGGAAAAGATTTCAAGATTCTGTTATTATATCTGTAAAATTAAAGTGGAGTTACAAAAATTCTTATGGCTTCTATTTCCTAACCTGGCCTCAAAGTATTGACAGCAACTATTCCTTACCAGTCAAGATTTGACAGCTAAAGATGCAGGCTAACATTTGCTCCCCTCCACCAAGACCAAGTGCTAGATCAGGATACAGTTTCTTTTTTATTTGGAAAATGACTGATTATTGAGTAGAGTTTTTCTGAATTTGAGATTCTCTAGAAGTAGGTATTCTCAGAAATACACCTGGGGAGAGTTGGTAAATCCATTTCATTGATGTTTGATCCTTTACTGCTTCTGATTAAATGTCTTGATCAGTATTTTATTTGTAATTGTAATGTACATTTCTAATTTATATCAATTTTTTAAATTACCAATTTGTTAGTAACAATATCCAGTATCTGCATTCAGCAAAAAAGAGTACAAAATATTAGAAATAGTTCCTCAGACTACAGCTAAAGTTTAAAATCTCATTTTTAATAGAAATAATTTCCTAATAAATCAGATTGTACTGTGCTTGCATTCTCTTTTTAATGTAATCCCTCAAGAAAACATTTATTATGGAACAAATTAAAAATAGTATTTATTAATGTATCAACACTTACACACTTTCTGAATATCTAAAACAGTCAAAACTGAGAGCAAGCAAAATCAGTATTTCTTACTTGTAATCCTCATTTGCTGCAGTGAAAATGAAAGCTTCCATGGGATTCCAGCAAAGTGTATTTGTTCTCATATCCAAAATAACCTGAGAAAATTTAAATATTATAAAATAGGAAAGACAATCAATAGACATGTACTTTTTATCACAATAAACTATACATTACAAATAAATTATATAATTACAATACAAATGTATCTATAAAAATATATAATAATAACTATTATGGGTTAGTTGTTCTCTCTCAGCCCAACTACCAGTGTTGTTATTGTGGAGAAAATAGGCAGGAGCACTAGTTACATATGCCACCTTGAATTGACCAAAGGCAGGATAGAAACCAAATAAATAAACAAACATTAAGCAAATATGCTCATACTGGTTAAAAATCTGTGCAATCTATACAAACTCTCATGTTGGTGAAAACATCAAGAATCACCTTATCCAGATATGTCATAAAGCTCAGGTAAAAAGGTCTAGCATAATTACAGGTAGTCCTCAACTTATGATAGCAATTAGGGCTGGGATTTCTGAGTGATGGGTCTATAAAGCACAACTCCAAATGTGGAAGCCAGCAGGAGGCCAGCAATTGGCTGCTGCTGGAGGGGAAGGGACTGAGAGAGATACGGTGAGATTCAGGGAGAGAACAAGGATGCGAGGAAAGCACAATGAATTGCACACAGTGCACTGAAGCTCAAAGAGAGTGCAAGGAAGGTATGGTGATG